CACATAGGCGTTTTGTATTTTTTAAAACCTATTAATTACAATCGTCAAAATATGCAGCAAAAGTGTTGATAGCATGATTTTACACAATTGCACAAGTACAAATTCAACTTTACCTGAAAAGGTTTATTTTGATGAGATCACTTACAAGGATTAAAAACGCATCGCCACAACTCAACAAAATTCACCTTCCAGTTGGAACTGAGCAGCAAAGAGCATGCACTGTCTGACTATAAAAATCCAGATTACTTTCGGAAATCGGCATTCGTTTTGAAGGAGTTTCAAGGTCAAATCACTACGCCACGTCTTGAGGCTGCAACAAGGAAAATCGCCATTGAAAGAATGCACGCTGGAGATTACCAATCTTCTGTTGCCAGGCGTCTGAATGTTAGTCTGAGGACGATATCACGGCTTGCAGCTCGTTACGACCAAACAGGTAAAACAAATGACCTCCCCGTACAGGCAGACCTCGAGTCACCACTGCAGTCCAAGATCGGCACATCAGAACAATATACTGTGTAAATTTTAAATGTCTCACTCTCACTCACGTGTTACTGGTTATGATATTATATGCGTATTATCTTTCTTTGGATAAGTACGTTTTAAGCTCAACCCAGAACATAATTCCTTGTATATAGATGTGAATGGTTTACCTTGGGTTTACACCTATTGACATTTTTCCGCTCTATTTCTTGTGTAAAGCCCTTATTACCGTCTACCTTTACGGCCTAGACGAATGGTGGCTATTTTCTCCGCAGTCGCCATGGCTTCTGTAATCGGCCATTCGAAAATCATCAATATGTATTGCAACAGAGTAAGGGCTATTTTCTACATCGTTCATGTCACGCAACAATTTGTACATTGTGGAAGGTCTCCTGCTTCAACCTTCATAGCCATGTCCATGCCGTGGCGCACGTAGGTGGCGCACAGCAGGTCAAGTTAACGTTGAAGAATGGAACGGAATGTTCCGCTTAAGTGGCATTTAGAAGCTGGTATGATAAAGAGGAACATTTTTGAAGCTCTTATTACAATATATACGACGCTTCGGCGTTGATGCTACCGCCGTTATCAAGCTTTATTCTTAACAAAACGTTCCGGAACTGAGTGAATTGAAAAGAATGAAAAGCTACTAACAAGACATAGAGAGCTGTCGGTTTGAATGATTTTCCAAGTATTCTCAGTTTGAGGAAAGGTGTGTGTGTTTGTGTGTGTGTGTGTGTGTGTGCGTGCGTGCGTGCGTGCGTGTATGTGCGTGCGTGCGTGCGTGCGTGTGTGTGTGTGCGTGCGTGCGTGGTGGAGACTTTGTTTAGAATAGATTTACTCTCTTTTATTTGGCGTAGGGGCTGTGGGGTAGTTTAGTGGTTAAAGCGTTTTCTCGTCACGTAAGGCCCCGTTTCAATTTCAGCGTAAAACCTAACTCACTACTTGTGTGATTAAATACGTTGATTGGCCAGGCTGTGTACCGCGACCGCATGGGTAATTGTTCATGTATAGTACTGTCGGAAATAGAAAAAAACTGTATTTTCTCATTTATCTCTACAATTTATGTAGTTGATATGTGCAAGTGTGAAATATCTCTTAAACTAAGTTCGGCCTAACTACAGTCTCAATGGTAGGGACACAAGAAACGTAGAAAAAGGACTTTACTGAGGAGAGATTAGTGCAGAAATGAGCAATGCGATTTTTTTCTAAGTCCAAAACGAATTATTTGGAACAGACCATGGCTGTATGCAAATTAGTGTGCGACGATATTGTATTATAAAGGACACTTTTTAAGTGACCAATTTGAAATTAGACGTAGCTTCATTATAAACGATAGCTGGCGTAAAAAATAATAACTTTCATGCTGAAACTATTAAGGATGTAGCTACCATGGAGTCTCACTGTCACTATAAAAAGAAACAGATAGGAGGGTTCGTCTCAAAAGCAAAACCTGGACGGGTGTCGCAGACGATCGTTGGGGTCGGGCTTGGGGATAGAGATATCAGCTAAGATACGATAATCCTTTAGGGCAATTATACTGGGGAAGTACACGGCATGTCATAACAATTTACAAATAATATCCAGTCCTGTCGATCTTCGCGATCGGGTGGTCATGCCACCTATATATTTTGAGACATTTAATACGATGCGTTTCTATGGTTATCAGGTATCAAACTCTTTTACATATCTCAACATAAACTTTATGAAAGAAAGACACTTAAGCTGTTAATCAATAGATGAGGCATAGTCAACACACATGAAAAAGCACAAAATATCTTTGAGATGACCCTTGGGCGCCTGTAGGCAGCACATGCATTTCATGCCAGGTGAGTCGACGGTCCGTCGTCATACCTGGCTGAGCGACCTAATTGCCATCTATAGTCTGATCTATTGTTTTCAGCAGCTATTCGTATTTTTTCTAAGTTTTGCCCGATTTTACGAGTAAACATGCTTTTCTGGATATCCTATTACGCATCCCACTGAATGCCAAGTTAGGCCGAAGTGGGTTATTTCGACATATGCTATTTGCAGTTGTGTAAATTTTAGGGATACAGAGTAAGAGCCTAAAAACAGTTTTTTTCTATTTCCGACAGTACTCCATTCTGGTCATCCATTTGCTATGTGTATAATATACTAGCCACATAAAGAAACTGTGCATTGTCAAAATATTATCCCAGTTGATAAGTACGATAACAATGTCAAAGGTACATATAAACTTTAATGGAGGGAGAATTTCAATTGAAAAGTCAATCACAATGACGTCACGAGTCCACAAGCGGGACAGGGGTCAAACGACCATGTCACAAGCTCAATAACGGGTATGTCCACCATCGGCATTGAGAACAGCAGTGCATCGACGACGCATAGAGCCTATCAAACGTGCAAGGAAGGCTTGTGGGATGTCACGCCAAATTCTCTCAAGTTCTGTTGCAAGGTCAAGGACGTTATCTGGCGGATGAGGAAGACGGCGTAGACGTCGATCCATCTCGTCCCAAACATGCTCTATCGGGGAGAGATCCGGTGAATTTGCAGGCCAAGGCAGTAAGTCAACGTTGTGGTGTTGCAAGAAATCCATAGAAACCCTTGCCGTATGAGGGCGGGCATTGTCCTGTTGGAATGTTAACCCAGGGCCATAACGTTGCAGAAAAGGAATTGCCACAGGTCGAAGAATCTGATCCCTGTAGCCCACACCAGTTAAGTTGCCCTTAACAATCACCAAAGGAGTTCTTTGGCGTGCTGTTATTCCACCCCAAATCATCACGGAACCACCACCAAAGCGATTCCTTTCCAAGACACAGGCCTGCGCATAACGTTCTCCCACACGTCTATAGGCACGTTGACGTCCATCACTATGGGAAATGTTAAACCTGGACTCATCTGTAAAAACAACATTTCTCCACCAAAACAAGGGTCTGCGGACATGTTTCGGCACCACATTCGGCGAGCTTGTCGATGACGTTGTGTCAGGATAGGCCGTATGGCGGGACGTCGTGGTTTGATCCCGTGATGACGTAAACGTTGTCGAACTGTGTTGGGGTGGATACGGCGAAGTCCTGGGATGGTTCGGGCAGTCATCACTGCAGTCTGAAACCTGTGACGAAGATGGGTCACCTTATCCATCTGTCCTGTTTTGGCGTTGTTACACGTGGACGTCCAGAACGTGGCCGATCGATGACGTCATTTGTGTCTCACCAGTGCAGAAATGGTGTTCCGGTGGCAGTGGGAATGTGCAGCCACTTGTCGTTGAGACATTCCCTAACGGACCATCGCAATGGCCTCATGACGTTGTGCAGACGTGAGCCTTGGCATGCTATGCATTTCAATAGCCGTTTAATTTTTAGAACGATCGCAAGGGCAGGGGTTGAGCTTTCGACAGTGACATTATTGTGTGGCATTCATTTGCTCTGTTTCTCTTTCCCGGAATGCACGTGCAACAACGTATTGCACGTCTCAAGGACGAACCCACTGACGTCACGGAACGTGGCACGTGCATGCATGTTGGATACATGTCACTAATCTCTGAGTTGAAATCCTTATGTGTCTACACAGGTTTGATAAATTTAGATTTTAAGTTTTTGTATGCACAGTTTCTTTATGTGCCTTTATGTTTCTTTCTGTATATGTATAAGTCAAATCATAGAGGCATTAACCGAATTCAGACCGTAGTAGTCAGCGTTGTTGTTTAATTGATAAACCCGCCAATCTACCAATGTTTGTTGTTGTTTAACGCCGCCGCATGTAAATAATTGAGCCTGGAATAGTCTGTCCAGTGGCTGACATCGTGAGCATCGATCTTCGCAGTTGGGATATGACGACATGTGGGTATCAGATATTGACAGCAATAGATATGTAATGCAGCGCATTCTGTTCCTTCAGGACAATTTGTCAGAAATGAAAGCAAATGTCATATGACGTGTACTGATGTGCTGGACTTCCTCACGGATAAAATCTATGTAAAACTGTGCCCCCTTCCTGCTGACCCGTTTGTTCATGTATATGCAAAGTGAAAACAAGACACCATAGATGGCTTCAAATATGTAGTTGATGTGATGTCGTTGAATAACAATAAGCTGGCCAGTTGCATTCCACTGATTTAGACACATAAACCAGAATCACAAGAACAGCGAAACCGCCTCATTTGCTGCATTGTCATACATATGTAAACAATTCAGACTGACATATAATTATATCCACATGGTGTGTGGACTCAGAAGAATAACTTCCCAATAGTCAACTTGCATTAATCCAGCAGCTCTAGCTGTTGGAGAGTGTATCTCAACACTGCTGGGGTACGATCGAGCATGCTCTTTCTATGTAGCCTTCAGAGGCTCTTTCTGAAAGGTTGTTTGATCATCGTCATAACATCAGTGAAGCTTCAAAATGTTAATGGTTGACATGTGGATGATATTTCAGTATTTGACCCAACAGAGACAAATTTAATATCTAATATGTTTCTGTTTGTGTTCAGGTAAACACTGACGTACAGAGCATAAAATAATGGATGTATCTTTACATTTCAGGCATCTGGGGACTCTATTTCCCCCAGCGGATGTACAGGTTCACATTACCACCAGGTGCTCCACATAATACCATCATCGGCCGTGTGTTTGTACTGAACAATGTTACCTCATACTGTGACGAACACAGCATAAAGTACGTCATGTACTGGGCTCACGACTACACAGGTGAGGTGTCACGGCTGGTTGACATTGATCACGTGTCAGGGGAGGTTAAGGTGATCGGCGTCAGCGAGGAAACCCGCAGCAAGGGTAGGTGAAGACATACCAAACGTTAGCTGTTCTGACAGAGACAGGCGAGCTGTTTCATGGTGAAGCAATTTCACGTTATATCTCTAATGTAGCAAATCTGGACTAAAAAAACCCGTGGTTGATAATAAAATACCTTTAGATTCAAGCAACATTCTCTGACAATAATCAATTTCCAAAAATGTACCACTATATTATAAATTTCGGGACCCACCACCAATTTCATTTGATCCAGGTTGTTCAATCCGTGAAGGTCCGGGTTAGAATTGATCTTCAGTAATCCATGCTAGACGACTATCGGGATCGGGTGGTCAGGTTCGCTGACTGGGTTGACACATGTCGTATCCCATTTGCGTAGATCGATGTTCATGCTGTTGATCCCTGGGTTGTCTGGTCCAGACTCGATTATTTACAGACCACCGCCATATATCTCGAATATTGCTGAGTGCGGCGTAAAACTAAACACACTCACTCACTCGTCAGTAATTCATATATGGACCAAAATAATTTGAGGAACATACTATCATATGTGATCAAAGCTGAAAAATCACCTTGCTGTCTAAGCGTAAGCGAATCAACGGACCAAAGGACAAAAGTTTCATTTCGTGATGTTGCCATTGGTAGAATGCAAAAACTGAAAAAGACTAAACAGAATAGGAATTAACTCACACTATCCAATCCTCTGTCTGACTGTCCTCCATGTACAGATGGTGGTTGTTCCGACTGGCAAGGCCTAAAACGACACAACCATTATATGGAAGCATCACTGTATTAATCGTTTCAAATACAAACTTGGTGTAAGTGACATACTAAATGTGCCACATGAAAGTCCAGGATGGTACCTGAGGAAGAGGCACACACGTACCACCAAATTCCTGCTTCCAAAATTAATTAATCCTGTCACGGAATAACTGAAGTCCCTGAGTATCTGTACTTCTACACTGAAGTCGTAATTTCAAATTTTATAACCGAATATTCCGGTTCATCGATCACTTGATTGTCTGGTTTGTATACAGGCCACCGTCGCATGGCAGCAGTACTGGTGTTCAGCGTCAGTCAAAATATAGTTAGTTAGACAAATTCGTCATGTTTACCCATTTCGCAAACACCTAGTGACACTACAAATATAAAGTTATCCATTCATATAAATGTCAAAGCTGTATTTGTTGTTGTTTCTGAGGATAGTCAAGCCCGGGCTTTCTATGTTTCTCTATATTCACCATGAGTGTTTGGGACAAGTGGATACCCTGTTGACACTAAAACAACGTTACATATTTGCGTGATGTAACCCCACAAGAACACTTCAGGAAACTTTCACTCCTCGACCCATGGGCATTTCGTACTTCGCGTGGTACACGTGGCCAAAGATATAAGTAAATATCTTTCTTCAGTGCTTTGGGACAATTGGTCAAAATACCGTCTGCGGTTTGCTTAGAAAAAAGAAATGTTCTTCTTCTCTGATAGCATTATAAATGGAAAGTTCTACTCAAGTTTGCAAATGGCATTTTAGAAGATGGTGAGTAACAAAAATGCAAAAATGTTATGGGTGAAAACTTTCTTTTTATTTTATTATGATACTTCGTACGCGTTTCGGTATAGATTCTTATACCGTTGGTCTAATAACAGATTTGTATACATCTAATATGGATTAACCAAAAACATTCATTATCTTATGTTTAAAAGACAACAACAACAACAACAACAACAACAACAACAATGGATATTTTTTATCAACAGTAACAACCGGAAGTCAGTTGCACGTGGCGGGGTACAGACTATGCAGTGCTGATGGGTATTATTAGAGATTGTAGCTGGAGCGCTAATTTTTATCAATTAATTGTGGGCAGGTGGTATGATGATGTATCCTGTCGGCGGATATGAACTGAGTGTCTTTGTCAGTTTTCTTTGGTGACGTCAGGATGAGTGCTTGTTAAGATTTGTAGATTGGTCTTCATGTTTGTTGTTTGGACCATGAGGATGTGGTTGGATGCGCCTTGATTGTCGGGCGACTTTGGTGGTAGATGGTATGTATTCTTTAATCCTGGCTTTTATGGGGCGGGAAAGTTTCTCCAAAGTAGGCGTTTATCTTCAGGCATAGCAATACTCTGATATCGTTCCAGTACCAGTTACCTTCCATTGATACCCACCTGAACAGAAAATAAAGGAGACCTCTGACCTCTCATTTGTGTCATATTTGGATCCATGTGTGAAGATTCAGCGTGAGTAAAACTCGTCATCAGACTGTATGTAAAGAAGGGTGAATTTAAGAAGGCCAACTTAATGACGAGCAATGTCCAGTAGATGCAGCTTTTGGTGCCAACATTCCACATTTTGTGAGGTGCATCCGAACATGCCCGTTGTACCTAGATTCACAACGTACAATATAGTTTGAACTTTGTTAACATTGACCATTCAAACAACACGCGTCACATTTTGAAGTCAAAAGAAAGGGAAAAAACGTCTTTACCGCATTCTTTCCGTTTGTAATTTACGATCCGTCGGTAATTTACCGTTATATAAGTAGAGTAGCTGAGTTTGACAACCACATTGACGATCAACCCATCCATGATTTAGTGACTTTCGCTGTGTCATTGTCAAGTGAGATGAATAACAGTTACTGTCTTATCAACTGTTAATAATGAGTGTCTGTTTGTACAGTAAACATGCAAACAGAACAGACTATCAGTGGATGACGGATAGAAGGTTGCCATGCAGGCTGTGGCGGAATCATTTCATTCTCACTTTTTTAAGAGTATCCCTGTGACGCCGACATTCTAGCATCAAGTAAACAGATTGACTTTGGGCGTGACGTGTCAGCAGACAAGATCATACCAGTCGTCCATGGAGAAATCTGGTTACATGAGTTTCTCAGCGACAGATGTTTGGCTCAGTTACTGGTATGATAAGGTAACGACGTCAACGGCAGCATGGGACGTTGCATACAACATCAATCAGTGGTTTATCTGGTCTAAACTCAGTTATATATGCCGCAAAATATTACTCATTAATGGTAATTAACACAATATTATCGAAACCTTAACTTATAGCTCATGTTCAATCTTTACTTTAGCTCCGATTGTTTAATTACATATACGCTTTGTGTCCATGGTTATAACTTCCCTTATCTATGAGCTCTATGATAATGTAGAACAAAAGTATGAAATTCAACGATAATAGATATTTTTCCTGGATCTTTCACGCTCAAGGTGTCAGTACTGTAGTGTCTTTGAAAGGTGTTCATGACATGGTTGTGTTTTAAGCGAGTGAGTACGGTTGGTGACTATAGCTTTTCCCCTAATCCAGCAATGTCACGGCAGGAATGAGCTTCACAAATGGACAATGGAACCCGGGTCTTCGGCGCAACGAGCAAACCTCTCACACAAGGAAGTAACGATGTGTGGTTATTATTATACGGAGAGGACAAGAGCCGTGTAATACGCAGCACGTGGAGGGCAGTGATATGCTTACACTCTTCTGGAATATGCATTAAAATATATCCTTTCTTCACATGTGTTATATCACAGTAGCTCCCTGCTGCTGAACATATATTGACATGTCCTGCGATCGTAATATTCATGTGAAAAAACAATAGCGCCATTGCAAGTGCAAATCTTTTGATGTAAATTCTCGAAGAATTACGGACATTCATTTATTCATATTCATTTCTGATATGTAGATGTAGTAAACCGTTGTGAAGAGTACACGACACACTATGATTAGGTAATCGGTTTAATCATCTTCCAGGAATACCTCATCTTTTACTCGAATTATAAATTCAGTCAAATATTTTTTGGAATAGTGGCATATAAACATAGAAACCAAAAAAGTAGTTGTACAGACAGTGCAGATCAACGGCGACCACAAACTCAAGGACAAGGCTGACATAACCTAACTTAAGGCTCTACTTTCATGCCAACATGTTGACATGTGATTGCTTCATGTTGTGGTAATAAAATACTGTGTATTCAACATGAGGGTAATAATGTTATGGGCGGGAGAATAAATCTCTCATACCCTCCTAAAGCCAAAAACCGCGCGTTGTTTACACATCGAAAGTCGAGTGACACATCAGAAATTAATTTCAGCTAAATCGAACACTTCTGTTTCCTTGAATTTAAATTTGCTTTAATTCTGTTACGGTTTAAAACATGCCCGCAAGATAAATTGCTTATAAAATATCCATCGGGGTAGGTGTAGGTTTATATGTCCCTCATTAGGTTGTATAGGAAACCTAACACGAAACGCAAACAGTCACATATACCTCTCGTGAAGCTGCTACAACTACTTATATGTACGGAAGATGAAAAAATACCATTAGATATTGGAGAATCTTGTTCTTATGTTCTTAAAGGATCAAAGGACTAATTTGAAAGATTAGAAAACCAATAATCAGTGGAGCCCGGAACTCTGCTTAACGAAAACGTGAACATGGCCAGAAAATGAGTTAGGCAGGTATCACATGTGTTATGGGAATGTTGGGCAGTATGGCACATATACACAGAATGACTGACTGCTTCTGATAAGGCCGTGGGTAAAGGCTGCTGGATGAATGTTGTTTGTACGTGTGGCTGCATATTGACCGGGAAATAGCCACCGTGTTCCAGGCCTTGTGGTATTCTTCAAACACTCTTGTCGAATCATCGCTAATAGTTGCCAACAAAACGGAAGCGACATTTGATGAATCGATCTGTGAATTTATTTTCACAGCAGGCATTGGCACGTCAATTGTATTACAGTTCAACACGATTAGACCTGGAGTCTCGCTTTTCCGTATTTTTTAACTTTATCTTATTTAGTGCTAAGCGTATGGTGGCCCCCCACCATCGCCGAATAAGTAAGCTTATTGGTTGAAGTTCCTGTGTCGTACCTTTAAGAGCTTCACTCATTACTCAAGCTTAACATTACTCGTAAAAGAACAACCTTTGACATTTGAAGTTAAGTGTTTGCTAATGCACAATTTGACAAAGTGGATGAACCATTTGATAAATGTAAAAAAGACAACA